TTGTGGGGGTGAGCTACCACACCTGGCTGATTGCATTTTTTTAAGCATATTCCTTTTGTTCTTGCCCGTCATTTATGGTGTCATTTGAAACAAGCATGAGGTGTCATGTAGAATGGAAACAGATATCCAGAGCTCTGTTCTCATGCGACTGTGAAATGTGGCTTCAGAGAAGAAACATTCCTTTCAAACTCATTATGCCTCCATTTCCCCTTTATTGTGCTAAGGGGGGCGTCTATGTTGAAGTGTCAAACCAAGTGCCCAGATGTAGACTAACACAGAGTACATAGTGCAGGCTGCTCTTGCATCAGAAGCTCCATTTGGTATCCTAAGTGCAGCCCTCTGCCTCTGAGTAGATTGTCATCAGGACAGAAATTCTGTCAGTGCTGAAAGGTTTTTTAATTACTTGAATACTCCCAGTGTTTTCTGTTGTTCATCTGCATTATATACACTTGATTTTGGATGGTAAATCCTTGAGAGTCTTTTCTGTGAATAAAGTTACATGCTTTGGAAAAGGAGTGTCCAATCTTTTGGCTTCTCTGGGCCACACTGGAAAAAGAAGAATTTCTTGGGCCACACATAAAATACATTAACACTAATGATAGCTGATGAGATTTTAAAAAAAAATCACAAAAAAGTCTCATAATTTTTTTTTTTTTTTGAGATGGAGTCTCACTCTGTAGCCCAGGCTGGAGTGCAGTGGCTCAATCTCTGCTCACTGCAAACCTCTGCCTCCCAGGTCCCGGTTCAAGCAATTCTCCTACCTCAGCCTCCCAAGTAGCTGGGATTACGGGGATGAGCCACCACACCCAGCTAATTTTTGTATTTTTTAGTAGAGATGGGGTTACACCATGTTGGCCAGTGTGGTGTTGAACTCCTGACCTTGTGATCCACCCTCCTCGGCCTCCCAAAGTGCTAGGATTACAGGCATGAGCCACCATGCCAGGCCTCTCATAAAGTTTTAAGAGGTTAGAAAAGCTTGCTTTGGAATAATAAAGCAGGGAATCATGAGTAAGAGTCATACATTTTCTCCTATTTCATAAAGGCATTTGAAAGGGAAAACTATGGCCTTACAGTGGTGTGAGGACTATTTTTATGTTATGTATTAATTTGAATGTATATTAATTTGCCTACATTCTTCAGTGAGATTCTTATCATTGACATTTTATCTGTCGCACTCCAACAGGTAAAATGAAGTAGCTGGATGAGGTTTCTAGACTATTTTCCAGACTGTAATTCAGAACATGACCAAAAGATTTCTTTTTCTTCAGAACTGTGAATATTTTCCTGAATTAGAGTCCTAAAAGCTCCTAAGAGTCTCTTAAACTCATAGATCATTTAGATAATGAGCTTGACCTCTGCCCCTCTCCTGGTTATTTCTGCCTTCTGACTTTCTTTAATCGCTGACACATCCTGAAGCCAACTTGCCAGGTTGTTTAAGCCCAGTGATTCATGAGGGCGTGAGAGGCTGATTGTACTCAGGTTTTCCATGCATGCTTACCTGTTGCTGTGGTCCCACTTGATGCCATCGCTCATGGAAACATATTGGTATTGAGGCCTGAATCACCTTCTGCCATAGAAACCGTCATTTCAGGGTGATTTATAAAAGGCATAGGAACCTCCTTCTCAGTAACTTAGTGAAGTATGATCTTATAGCAACTTTTGGGGAGTTTTAGACTTCTGGAAATTGCATCCTCTGTTGTGCATCTTGCTTATCAGTCTTGTCTTATAACAAGCATTTATAAATAGCCACAAAAATGATCATTATAAGAAGGAATAATGAGCTGTAAGTTATGTTAATTGTATTATTTACTTATATCTATCAAATAGGGTTTACTTATTACCTGTAGTAAAATTCATTTTAAAATATTATGTAAACCAGATTTTTTCCATTATAAATGCAGTAAGTGTTTCATTTAAAAAATATTGTAGAAGGGTATAGAGTAAGATGTAGAAATTCTCCTTCCCCATATTTTACCTTTCAGTACAACTCTCCAAAAGCAGTCACTTTTAACAGTGTAGTGTTTCTTTGCACAAATTTTCTAAGCATATGCAATTTTACATATATTTATACATATACACTCATTTTTACACAGTCATATTATGCTTACTTGTCTATATCTTGCTTGTTTTTTCACTCTTGTGGCTCTGACTTCTGACAGGCTGGAGTGCAATGGTGTGATCTTGGCTCACTGCAACCTCCGCCTCCTGGGTTCAAGTCATTCTCCTGCCTCAGCCTCCCAAGTAGCTAGGATTACAAGCATGTGCCACCACACCTACCTACTTTTTTATTTTATTTATTTATTTATTTATTTTTGAGACAGAGTCTTGCCCTGTCACCCAGGCTGGAGTGCAGTGGCGCAATCTCAGCTCACTGCAACCTCCGCCTCCCAGGTTCAAGTGATTCTCCTGCTTCAGCCTCCCAAGTAGCTGGGACTACAGTGCCTACCACCACACCTGGCTAATTTTTGTATTTTTAGTAGAGACGGGTTTTCACTATTAGCCAGGCTGGTCTCAAACTCCTGACCTTGTGATCCACCCGCCTCAGCCTCCCAAAGTGCTGGGGTTGTAGGCGTGAGCCACTGCACCCAGCCTAATTTTTGTATTTTTAGTTGAGACAGGATTTCATCATGTTGGCCAGGCTGCTCTTGAATTCCTGGCCTCAAGTGATCCACCCACCTCGGCCTCCCAAAGTGCTGGGATTACAGGTGCGAGCCACCGTGCCTGGCCTATGTACCATGATTTTTTGATGAGCATTTAAGTTTATATCTGGTTTATACAACTAGTGTATATATGGTTGTTGTTGAAGTTATATTGTCCTAAACAATGAACATTCCTAGAAGTGAAATTACTGAACCCAGGAGCACGTGTTGTACATTTCAATGAGATGTTTCCAAATTACCTTCCAAAGAGCTTGCACAAATTTACACTTTTACCAATATTGTCTGAGGGGTTTTCCACATCCTCATTTACCAGTCTTTCTTTGGTAATTTTTAATATTCTAATAGATGAAAATTGTTGCTCTTTTAAAATATGCCTTTGTCGAATGTATGTACTGAGTGTTTTTTCCACAAGTCTGACAGCCATTTGAGTATTTGTGTGACTCTCCTGTTTTGTGTCCTTTCCCCATTTTTTTTTTCTATTGGATCATTTGTCTCTTGCCGAATCTATTTTTATGAGAGGAAAAACAAATCATTTTCTAGGAGAGGCTGCCATTTAACAGATAATCCATCAGTAGTTAACAGGAATAAATATATATACCCTACACAAGGACACATGTAAACATTCACCTACTTGGACCCCTAAACAAAATAATAAATATGGCCACATAGCCTAAAGAGAAAAAGAAGGTCTCTTTGGGTTAGATGTGAGACTGGCTCACATCTAGTGTGGGACTGGCCTCACTCTTTCTACTGGTTTTCTATTGCTCCATAAAAACTGACCACAAACTTAGGAGACTGAAAGTTTCCCTGGGACAGGAGTCCCACAGGGCTAAGGTCGAGGTGTTGGCTGGCTGTGTTTTCACATGGAGCTGTGGATCCTCTTCTGAGTTCATGTGGTTATGGCAGGACTTGGTTCCTTGCAACTGTAGGACTGACTTCCCTGATTCCTTGCTGGCTGTCAGCTGGGGGCCACTTGCGGTTCCTATAGGCTGCCCACATTCCATGCCATCTGGCCCCCTCCATCTCAGAAGTCACCAAAGGGGAATCTCCTTTGTGTTGAATCCTTTTTATGCTTCCAGTCTCTGTCCTCTTTACCCAGATCTGAGTTCATGTGATCAGGATGGGCCCAACTGTATTCCTATCTTAATGACAACTGAACAGCAAAATCCTGTGTTTGATTGGAAGAGGCATATGTCCCGTGGGGCCAGAAGACTTGGAGACCATCTTAAATTCTGCCCACCACATCTTTCATCTGACTTCCTTGATGGAAGCAGACAGAACTCATATCTTTTGCCTTAGGAAATCACAGTGAAACATCCAATGCCAGAGGAAGGAGCTAGCATCAATCTAACCCTATGTACAACAAAATACATCCATATGGTTCAAAGATCTGGATGTGACGAGCTGGCACAGTAGCTCACACCTGTAATCCCAGCAGTCAGCAGTTTGGGAGGCTAAGGCAGGAGGATTGCTTGAAGGTAGCAGTTTAAGACCAGCCTAGGCAACATAATGAGAACTCATCTCTACCAAAAAAAAAAAAAAGGTGTTAGCTGGGTGTGGTGATGCACATCTGTAGTCCTAGCTACTTGAGAGGCTGAGGTGGGAGGGTTCCTGGAGCCCAGAAGTTCAAGGCTATGGTGAGCCATGATCATGCCACTGCACTCATTCCTGGGAAACAGGGCAAGACCTTGTCTCTTAAAAAGAAAATAACCAGCTGGGCATGGTGGCAGGCACCTGTAATCCTAGCTACTCGAGAGACTGAGGCAGGAGAATCACTTGAACCCAGGAGGTGGAGGTTGCAGTGAGCCGAGACTGTGCCATTGCTCTCCAGCCTGGGCAATAGAGTGAGACTCCGTCTTAAAAAGAAAAAAAAAAAAAAAAGAAAGAAAAAGAAAAAAATCTTGATGCGAGCAGAAACCTGGAGAGAAAATCCAGGAAACCATTTCTACAACTGATACAATGTAGGGGGTGGGGGCGGGGTCAGGCAGACCTTCCTTGACTAAGAGTCCAAACCTGGTATTTCTGACTCCAACATCTCCCCTCTTGACCCCCACACTATAGGGAGCACCCAGAGGACAGGCTGTTCACCGGCTGCACGAGAGGACTTTGAGTTCTCTAACGTTGCTGTTTCTTCTTGGTACCAGTGTGAACACAGTATGTGTTTGTGAGATGCTTACCTTGAGTGTTCAATAGAACAGAATGAATTGACCAGAAACCAAGTAGGTGAACCACTAAGGGGAACTGTGTTGATGAGCATTGTTCTAACAGAATTCTAAAAGAACGCTCTTCCCTCCCTCTGTCTCTCTCTCTTTCACCCTCCTACCTGCTGCTGTGATTCAGGCGCATTATATGTGACTTGCTGGAGACGGAAGAGATTTATATAAAAGAGATTAAAAGCATAATTGATGTAAGTAGATTTGGGGAGTGGGTATCAAGCATGTGTTCACACTGCAGACGTGTTATACAAAGAGACTCAAAATGGTTGCCATAAGTCTCCAGAATTCCCACCAAGGTTTCAGGTTTTATAATATGACTAATGTCTCCGGGTGGAATAACAGCCTTCCTGTGGTTTCTTGATCCACGTAGCCAAATAGTTTCCAAAGAATTAGGTCAGTTCACCCTGATTCCAGCAGTGCCCAAATAGGTTTACCATATTCTTGCCAACAAAGTGTATTATAAATTGTTTTTGATACTTTAATAAGGGAAGATTATTTCTTGTTTTGTTTTGTTTTTGTTGTGAGACAGAGTTTCGCTCTTGTTGCCCAGGCTGGAGTGCAATGGCACAATCTCGGCTCACCACAACCTCCACTTCCCAGATTCAAGCAATTCTCCTGTCTCAGCCTCCCAAGTAGCTGGGATTACAGGCATGCACCACCACGCTCAGCTAATTTTGTATTTTTTTAGCAGAGGCTGGGTTTCTCCATGTTGGTCAGGGTGGTCTTGAACTCCCAACATCAGGTGATCTACCCACCTCAGCCTCCCAAAGTTCTGGGATCACAGGCATGAGCCACCCATGCCTGGCCTAGTTCTTGTTTTTTTAAAGTAGCCTTTTTTCTTAAGAGTAAAACTGCTTATTTCCCCTCATTTCTAAGGGAATAATCTTAAGGAAAAAATTGTATGTACATGATTATTTATAATCACATTTTTAACCATAAAATATTAGAAGCAACCCAAATGTCCAATAAAAAGGGAATGTTTAATAAATTATGATATACATGCCAAATAAACATTATCCAGCTATTAAAAAATAATTATTTTGGATATGTAAAAATTTCATATCCAAAATAATTATTTTTTAATAGCTGAATAATGTTGAAAATTTATTTCAACATTGAAAATTTTAAACTTAGATATAAGTTTAAATTAAAAACAACATATATATTTACAAGCTGAGTCTAAAATGTATGTGGAAAAACAATACAAAATTGTATATGTACTACGATTATAACCATATAAAATGAGCGTTTTTAAATTCATGAAGGTCATATAATAAAACATAATAGTGACCGGGCGCAGTGGCTCACACCTGTAATCCCAGCATTGTGGAAGCCTGAAGTGGGCAGATCGCCTGAGGTCAGGAGTTGGAGACCAGCCTGGCCAACAGGGTGAAACCCCATCTCTACTGAAAGTACAAACATTAGCCAGGTATGGTGGTGCGTGCCTATAATCCCAGCTACTTGGGCGGCTGAAACAGGAGAATCACTTGAACCCAGGAGGCAGAGGTTACAGTGAGCTGAGATCACACCATTGCATTCCATCCTGGCAAGAAAAGCAAAACTCCCTCTCAAAAATAATAATTATTATAATAATAGTAATTGTATCAGTTCATAAAACAATGGGTACATTTTCCCTTCTTTTACATTAAACCTGCATAACATAAACATTTTTAAATATATTTTCTCTTCCCACAAAAATGCCATTTTATTATCATTGCCACTAAGCTCTCTCCTTCTGAAAGTGGGCACATGAGAAAAATGAAATCAAAAGGAAGTATTTGATACAGTAACTTTCAAGAAACAAGTGTGCCGTATTCTCCCATGATTTCACTCAAGTTTTGGTTTTGGGAGTAGCTGATTCAGATGGTCTCTGGCGTGTTCCTGTCTGTAAAACCTGGCTTGTTCCCACTTCCACAGGGATACATCACTCCAATGGATTTTATTTGGCTAAAGCATCTAATTCCAGACGTCCTTCAGAATAACAAGGACTTTCTCTTTGGGAATATGAGAGAACTTTACGAATTTCACAGCAGGTATACAGTAATTCACATTATCAGAAGGAATGGAGAATAAGAGAAGGGTGGAAATGAGACTGATGGAATTGCGGGATGAAATGCTTAGATGTTTTCAGGTGTAAGCAAGCAGTTTGGAATCAGTGGATTGGATTGGGTGGGTTGGTGTGAAAGGAGGGGAGAAGCCCTGCAGGCTCCAGGGAAGGAAGGGAAGAGACATCAAAGGAACGTGCACCTGGCGTCAGACATCCGTGTTGGATGCAGTTGAGTGTTCCTTTGCTTATTCTTGCATCAGCATTTTTTGATTCCCTGTTCTGTGCCAGGCACTGTGCTCAGCACTGGGAATAGAAACACACATCTACATACCATTATCATAAGGGGATGCTGGGAACTGGGATGTTAGGAAATGCTGACTCTCAAACAAGTTGTACTTTGAACCCAAGGCTGCTTGGATATTGAGTTCTAGAGAACTGCAGGATTGGCTCACACCTGTAATCCCAGCACTGGAAGGCTGAGGTGGGCAGATCACCTGAGGTCAGGAGTTCGAGACCCACCTGGCCAACATGGTGAAACCCCCTGCCTACTAAAAATACAAAAATTAGCCACATATGGGAGCTACTTGGGAGACTGAAACAGGAGAATCACTTGAACCTGGGAGGTTCTTGGAGGAACCTGGGAGGACTTTGGAAATCATCTTCAAACCCTTTCATTTTACACATGTGGAAATGGTAACTTGTTGACTCCCTTTATTCACTATGATGACCCAAATATTGTGTACCTAATTCACAGAGGGAGAAAGGCTGCTTGGCAAATTCAACCACAGGTGTTCCTAACCCCACCCCTCGTCCATTGGTCAGACACAAAACTGAAATGGAAACCCATTTCTGCTGCTTCCCCTAAAGAAGTTATATAGCCTCTTTGGGCCTCAGGTTTTATATTTATGAAACCCTATCTTGCAGGGTTTGGTGGAGGATTAAATGAGATATTATTTGGGGAGCACCCAGCTTATGCCTGGCTTGCAGTAAGCTCTCAATGATATTAGTGATAGCAGCAGCAGCAGCAGTTCCTATAAATATTATTTTCATGTAACAGGGAGCATCAGCGAGTGTATCCAGGCTGTCTATGACTAGTGCTTAGAATGATCAGAACAGCTGTGAGTGATTTCAGGGTCATCAAAGTAATGCTTCGGAACATGGCTTTTTTTCCTGAGTCAATGTGTAGAAGATAAGGCAAGAGCAAGAAGGCCTGGAGAACACTTTTCTAGGCACCTCTTAAAACCTTACATGACTGTACTTAAAAAAATTAATTATCAGCTTTGTGTCGTGGCGATATTGTAGCCAATGAGGCGCGATTATTGCTAACTGAAAACTTTTCCCAATACCCTGCCGTGACGACTTGCAATGTCTCTACGGAGACTGAAAAAAAATTAATTATTGCCGAGTGTGGTAGCTCACGCTTGTAATCCCAGCACTTTGGGAGGCCAAGGCAGGCCTCACAAGGCCCTTGACCTTGATCACAAAGTCAGGAGTTCGAGACCAGCCTGGCCAATATGGTAAAACCTCGTCTTTACTAAAAATACAAAACTTACCTGGGCTTGGTGGGATGCCTGTAGTCCCAGCTATTCAGGAGGCTGCGGCAGGAGAATCGCTTGAACCCAAGAGGCAGACGCTGAGGCAGGAGAATCACTTGGACCCAGGAGACAGAGGTTGCCATGAGCCAAGATCACACCACTGCATTCCAGCCTGGGCCACAGGACAAAACTCTGTCTCAAAAAAATATTAATTATCTACATGTAAAAATCAAAACATTGTTACTTGTATACTTTTATTTTTCCAGGACTTTTCTGAAAGACTTGGAAAAGTGTGCTGAGAACCCTGAACTTCTGGCACATTGCTTTCTCAAGAGAGTAAGTCAGTGCTGCCAGTAAATCAAAATAATCATGTTAAAGTCAGCCCTTACTTTTCTGTGTAAATGGTAAGCACAAATGGAAACACCAATGGTCTAAAAACATACCTGCTTCCCCCACACACACACTCCAAGCTTTACTAAAATATAATTGGCAAATAAAAATCGCATATATTCAAACTACACAACATGATGGTTTGATATGCTTACACCCTAAACTTCTGGCACTCTGCTTTCTCAAGAGAGTAAGTCAGTGCTCCCAGTAAATCAAAATAATCATGTTAAAGTCAGCCCTTCCTTTGCTATGTAAATGGCAAGCACAAATGAATACATTTGTTACTGTGTGTGTGCGTGTGATCTAAAAAGTTGAGCTCATTGAAGTAGAAGGGTGACTGCCAGGGGCTGGACGCTAGCAGAAATAGGGAGATGTTGGTCATGGTATAAACGTGCAGTTACGAGATGAATACGTTCTGGAGATGTAAAGCACAGCATGGTGACTATGATGAATAATACTGTCCTGTATACCTGAAATTTCCCAAGACGGCAGATCTTGTATCTGCCCTTTGAATGGAAAACCTGAGTCGGCCTCCCGACTTTACCTGACTTTATGTTGCTGGTTAGTGGACATCCTTTCTCCAAGAAACTTTGGACTCTTAGCCTTTAGAAGAGCAATTTAGGTCAATACTCTACTGTTGTCAAGCTCTGAGTTATTATTCTAGCTCCTTAACCAGTCGGAACATTTCTCAGAAGCGATCTCTCTCTCTCTCTCTCTCTCTCTCTCTCTCTCTGTCTCTGTGTGTGTGTGTGTATGTGTGTGTACGTGCATGTGATATTTTTCCTGGAGGGAATAGCAAGTGACGGATTTGCTATAGTTCTTATGCTGAAATGACCACTTAGAACCTACTGGGAGAGAGGAAGAGCCACAGAAATGGAAGTAATCCACTATAGCCGTGTGTTTGGAAGCAGAACAGGCATCATTGAAGCTGTGAGGGAAGAAGTAATCTGTGTTGCATGAAAGAAATCCAGAGTTGGCCTGAGCGGGAGGTTAGGGACACAGACTTCTGTAAGGAGGTGGCTGCATGGGCTTCTCCACCAGAGCAGCATAGGGTCTGTGGCCAGCACAGCCGCTGTGGGCCACGCTGCCTGGTAGAGCGAGTGAAGCTGGCAAGCTGACGCCAGAGGCTTGGAGCATCCTTCTCTCCGGGGTGTTGCAGATGTGTGCCCACGTCTCAGTGTCTTTGATACCATGAGAATACAGGTTGAACAGCGTGTCGAGTCCTCCTTGCTCTCTAGCTCTGAAATAGTCACATCACTTCTCCTGTCTCAGAGTCTTGTGCTACAGGTTGAAGCTGGTGTTGAGGCAGAGCTTGGCACTTTGAGTGTTGCCCAAATGACTCAGATATGAGTTGGTTGCCCAGTGTGCCACATCTCCCCTCTGGGGTGTTTCCATCTTTTGATTGTTTCTTGGCCTCTTCGCAGGGTTGACGTCACAATTGCCACAAGGAGCTTGAGGGTGGGGAGAGAGAAGACGAGGCCGTCAACCTCCAGCCTTTTTCTGCCTGTTTTATCACTCATTGCAGATCTGTTGTGGGAGATGTCGACGTCCTGGGCAAAGAGCAGGAAAAGAATGGTTTTCATTTGAGATAAAAACCAATTCCTGTTGGCGAGTCTGCTTACTTATGTACCAGTAGCCCTTGCAGATGCTCCCACAGCACTCTGTGCCTATCTGTGTCTCGTAGTTATGGTTGTTCATAGCCTTCTGTCTATCTCTCCATCACACACGCACCCAAACATAAGATTACTTATCATGCACCCCCAATTCCTTATGCATTAGAGTACTCTGGCTTGTTGAATGAATGAATAAACTGTATTATCCTGTCCACTTACTGAAAAATGCTACCTGATTCATTTGTTCTAATTTTTTCCTACCTAGAAAGAAGAGCTTCAGATATATTTTAAATACCACAAGAATCTGCCCCGAGCTAGGGCAATCTGGCAAGAGTGTCAAGACTGCGCATACTTTGGGGTAATGTTGAGAAGACAAAGTCTCCCACGGATTGTTCCTGGAAAATGTTTCTGTGCATCAAATAGTTAAAGAGATCAAAAGGGGGACCTGGCAGAGGAATTTGGCATTGGGATTTCATTGTTTATGGTGTCCCATACTTTGAAATGATGCATGAAAAATTTTGAAACTGCCTTTGGTCTCTGTGGGATCGGCCTGTGAGGAGCACCTGTAGTCTGGTGAGAAAACCAGTGTCCTCTTCTAGGATGGGTTTTAAAAATGAAACTGAGTCCAAAAGGTCACACTTTGGGCTCCCTGGAGTGATGTCTAGCTCCAAATGGCCCAAACAGACTCTGCCAGCCCCCAGCTTGAAGACAGGCCGTCTCCTTTTCAGAAGGACTTGAAATGCCTCACTGTCTTCTAGCGAACTTGGTTACTAAAATAAATAAATGGTTCTGCTTCCCTAGATGCCTGTAAAAATATTAGCCAAGCCGTCTCTTTCCTCTTTCTCTTATTTCACACACTGTCCTGAGGAGACGGAACAGCCCCACCGCCTCATGGAGCTGCTCAGCACAGCTGCCCCTGTTGGCCATGAAAAGCAGTTCGTCTTCCATACCTAGACGCTGCCACCTTTGTTCCGTGTGTGTTGTTGGTTTTGTTTTATGTTGTTTTTTTTGGCTTTTAAAGGTATGCCAGCGCCAACTGGATCACAAGCTCCCTCTTTTTAAGTATCTTAGAGGACCAAGCCAGAGGCTTCTAAAATACCAGATGCTGTTGAAGGTAAATCAATGAGACAGTGCCTTTTGATGCTGTGAAAGCAGACGCCTGCACCAGGCTGCTGTTTCATTAGATGTGTAGAGCTGTGCTTTGGTCTTTTACAGCTGAAGATATGTCCATCCTGCAGGCTTTTTCTTTCCGCCAGTTCTAAATCAACTCCTCTTTGTGGAGTAAGAACAGAGAATCACAGAGTTGACAGGACCTGAGGGCCTCACAAGTCCAATGTCTAGCCCAGGGCGTGAGTCACTAAGGAGTTGGGTTGGGGAGGAGAGCTCTTTGGGAGCAAGAGTGTGATTTTCCCCAAAGTTACTGTTTTATGGGCATTTTCATTTATGGAAGGGAGAAGACAAAACTGGAGTCTTCTATCCTTTTGCAGCACTGACCTCCATTCTAGAGTTAGGGTCTTACCCTGAGAGCAGCCCAGCAGAGTGGACTTTGATATATTTGAACCCTGAATGCCTAAGTGGTGTCTCTCTCCCTCCCTCTGTCCCTCCCTCCCTCCTTCTCTCTTTCTCTCTCTCTCTTTCTCTTTCTCTCTCTCTCTCTGTCTCTGTCTCTGTCTCTCTAATTCTTACCCCTCCTTAGTGGTAAGTCATTGACACCAGCACATCTGCAGGCACGCATTCTCAGACACCCCAAACAGGATATAAGGGCCTATCATGGTTTCCTATGTGTGAGCTTGAGGGAAAGGTTTAGGTCATCACTATAAGTTGTCTGTTGAATTAACCTCTATGAGGCATTCAGGTAGCTCTTGCCCAGTGGCCACTGTCTCCTAATAAAAAACAAAGAAAAACAAGCCCCTCCTGTTCACTGGGTACTTTCCCATGTGTATGTCTTATCTGATCCCACAATCAGACATACCAGCAAAGCTCTGGCCTGTGAAGAAACTGGGACTCAGGAAGGAAAAGCTCATTGCCTAACAATCTGGCTCAGAAAAACTGACTCCTTTCAGGCCCGCATGACACACAGCTGCAGCCCCAGCTACTCAGGAGGCAGAGACAGGCACCTCCCTTGAGTCCAGGAGTTCAAGGCCAGCCTGGGCACCACAGCAAGACCTCATCTGTAAAGATAATTTTTAAAACAATTTTTTTTCAAAGTTAATTCCTTTCAAGCTTTCCATGAACAGTTTCAGCCTTGGCATACTCTGCCATTTGCCAGTGATGAGACCTTGACCTCTTGGGCCTTAGTTTTCCTCTGTGTAAAATGAGGGAACTAGAACCGCCTCTGTAAGAGGGTTGTGGAACAGATGAGGGGCACACGCGGAGGGCTTGGCACAATGCCCCAGGAAGCTCTGCGTGCCGCGTAGCTGTCATCTCAGACGTTGAGACTGTCATGCCACCATAGAGCTGAGGATAATAATCTGCTTCCTCCAGCAAGCATGTTTGCTTCCTCTGAGCATGTTTGACACAGCACTCACTCAGGGCCTCATGCTCCTCTGCCCGGCCCATCATCACTGTCATTCCCATTCTAGAAGTCTGACCTCTGGACCCAGTGAGGAGTGAGCAGGACGTAAGTGACAGTCTTCCCTACCTCAGCCCGGACTGCAGCTTTCCCACAGAGGTGACTTTTACACACCAGCCAGGTTCGGTAGCAGACACAGAGGACTGTGGGGCATAGTAACTGGAAGCACAGACTTGAGGGTTTAGCAGCCCTGGTCTGGCCCCAGGCTCTGACTCTTCCAGGCTGCGTGAACTCAGACAAGTTACTTAACCTCTCTCAGCCTCAGATATCTCACCTTAGAATGAAGAAAATAATAGCACTTTCCTGATATGATTGTTGGGAGTATTAAATGAGGTAATACAGGTTAAAAACACTTAGAAGGGGCCGGGCGCGGTGGCTCAAGCCTGTAATCCCAGCTCTTTGGGAGGCCGAGGCGGGTGGCTCACGAGGTCAAGAGATCGAGACCATCTTGGTCACCATGGTGAAACCCCGTCTCTACAAAAAATACAAAAAATTAGCTGGGCATGGTGGCGCGTGCCTGTAATCCCAGCTACTCAGGAGGCTGAGGCAGGAGAATTGCCTGAACCCAGGAGGCAGAGGTTGCTGTGAGCCGAGATCGTACCATTGCACTCCAGCCTGGGTAACAAGAGCAAAACTTCATCTCAAAAAAAACAAAAAACAAAAAACACTTAGAAGGTTTTGTTAGCTGCCTTTCGCTGATGAAACGAGAGATAGAACTACTACAAAACATTCCTTGGGGGATCTGTGGGGGCTACCCAAGGCAGACCAGAGCAGCGTCCCCACAGTTAAGCTTGATGGTGCCTGTGAAACCAGCTCAAGCTATCACATGCCCGCGAAGAAAGGACGGACCTTGTATTCCTCTGTAGGACTGTCTATCCGCGGGGCGGAGCTTCTTTTGCATCTCCCACACAGGAGCTGTCTTGAAAGAGCATGAATGTTGGACTGATTGCCTCGTGCTTCAGAAAGAATCATGGGATCTTGGTGTGGGAAAGCCTTTCTAAGTATAAGAGAGGGGGTGATGGGTGATAGCTTATACCATTAAAGACAAAGACCCATGAAACAGTGGGAAAATATGAGTAAAATGTGTAACAGATGGTCAGTATGCTTAATGAATTATGAGCTCTTGGAAATTACAATAAAAAGATGCGCAAAGGACATACCAGTGTGCAAAAGAATAAATACTAATAGCAAACTTTTTAAAACAAAAAAAAACTTCTACACCTCTGGTTATCTGAGGAATTCAGGTAACAGTGAGGTGGATTTCTCTTTTCATTCAGTTGGTAAAGATGTTTGATTAAATGGTATTACCCCTTGTAGGCTAGGGGCTGGTGAAACAGTCTTTCCTATATAGCTGGCAGGGGCACACACAGTCCTTCTCTAAAGAACTTGGAAATATGCCCCAAATTCTTAACATTTACAATTCCACTCTAGGAATTTGGCTTTAGGAAAAGTGCACAAAAGTTATCATTATTATAGTAAAAATATTATTGAACCTAAATGTTTAATGATAAGGGAGACTATAATTCAATTGTGGTTATCTATAAGATACAACACTGTGCCACAATCAAAGCTCATGTTTTAGGAAAATGTAATATGGGAAAATACTCATGATAGATTGTTGAATGAGAAAAAGCAGTCTACAAAACACTGTGTACAATATGATTCTAAGTTTGTAGAAAGCGCTCTGTGCCAAGTACATCATTTATTCTTTCCCTCTTTCAAATTTACATGTGTTCTCAGTCAGCTTAGCACTGGTTGCAGGTAGTTTGCACAGTGGATTTTGTTGGCAATCTACATTTTGATTTTCAACAAGGCTTTTGGGTTAATGCAGGGTCTGCTGGATTTCGAGTCTCCTGAAGATACGGAGATAGACCCAAGTGAACTGGGAGGCTCGGCTAAGGTACTGGATGTTAAATATTATGTTTTACATAACTAGCTGTTAATGGTATTTGTCTATGGGTCAAAGGATTTACAGCAATTTTAGTTTATGATCTTTATTATCTAGATTTTCAAAAATAGTGTGTATCCTATAACTTACAGTCAAGAAAAAAAACCAGAAAAGTTAAAGGCAATTTTAAAGTAGGGATTTGCAGCCCAAAGGGAAGTGGTGATATATTTTCTTCCTTCCACATAATTTTTTTTTTTTTTTACTTTTTGAGACAGAGTCTCACTCTGTCTCCCAGGCTAGAGTGCAATGGTGTGATCTTGGCTCACTGCAACCTCCGCCTCCTGGGTTCAAGCAATTCTCCCTGCTTCAGCCTCCAGAGTAGCTGGGATTATAGGTGCCCAGCACCATGCCCAGCTAATTTTTATATTTTTAGTAGAGACAGGGTTTCACCATGTTGGCCAGGCTGGTCTCAAGCTCCTGACCTCAGGTGATATGCCTGCCTCAGCCTCTCGAAGTGCTGGGATTACAGGTGTGAGCCATCTCGCCCAGCCAAAAGAATTTTAATGGAAACAAAATTAAGTGATAAAATGCATACATAAAAGCCTGGAAATAAAAAATGTCTGCTGTGGCTTTCCTAAATGGTAGGATTTATGTTTCCTTCTTTGTACCTCTTAGTATATCTAATTTGTATATGTTATGCCTTGTTCTCGTGTGTGTGTGTGTGTGTGTGTGTGTGTGTGTGTGTGTGTGAACTCCAAGAGTCCATCAAAGATCCCTTAGAAGAAGTGGTGACCATGACCACACCAGGTTAGGAAGAAATCTGTGGCTTAGCAGTGGGGTTTCTTTTCCATTTCCTATAGAATGTTCTGGTTTTAACAAGAAACACTAGAGACATGCCTCATGGGGCAGTCATTTGCATGCCCTTTCTGCTCAGAATGGATGACAAGGACCCCTTGAAAACAGAAGCAGCTCAGGACACAGGTAATATTTTTATAGCCTGGAGCAAGAGAAGCTAGCCCTAGTCAGAGGAGTTTAATAATGTTTTTGAGGATTTTTCTGAACCGTACATCACCTAGTGTAAATAAAACAAGCCACCTCGTGTTTGGTGAAGGAGGATTAGTGGAAGGAGGAGGGATAGGAGCAGGTGAGTATCTGAAAGGAAACTGAGCATTCAGTGTTAGGTAAGGAGGAAGATGCCTGATATAAGAACTTTTAATCCCATATTGATGATGTTAAAATAAATCCAGGTGAGACTCTGTTGTCTTTAACGAGTAAGTGAAGCTTCTTTATTATGAATGAGAAGCTACGAATCCCTGGCACGTTGTCCAGAGGTGGCAGCGTGATCTCTTCCATTCATCAGCCCTGTCACTCATGTCTCTCATCCAAAGATGCAAATGCCCAGTGCTTCCGCATAGATTAAGAAAACAGTAAACCCTTTGACTACGTTATGCTGTAGAGGACAAAAAGAGTCAGGGCTGGATGGGGAGCAGCAAAGGGCTGGCTGTTCTTCGTTGTAGAAATTGAATTGAGAGGTTAAAAAAAATACATAGACTAAACCAAAACCATTTTGTGTGCATTTACCAGATAACAGATAAATACAGCATGTAGGTAGCAGGGTGATAAAATACCACCAGCCCATGCTAAGGCCTTTTGACCTGACACAGTCATCCCAATCGCATCCTAAATGTCACTGTGGTTAGAACTGGAACATTGGTCTCTTTAATTAGTTACTGCTTTTCCACTGAATGCTGTGTTTTTATGTTAGGGAGGTGCAGAGCACTGGCGCATCTCTTAGGTATCTTTAATGGTGGTGCAACGTGGGGAGGGCAGGGGACAAGTGGAGGAAGGAAGGGCAGAGTTGGTGGGGATTTCAGCATGCAAATGTTACATTATGGGCTTACAAGGAAATCATTAGTAAATTTCCACAATGCAGCCTCTGTGGAGTTCTTTGTCTTTGTAGGAGTTTACAGATGTCCTCCTCTGGGATGGTTTTAAGTATAATTTTACCAGTAGGAATAAGTCTGTCACATTAAATATAGGAATATGATGCTCAGATTGTATTTTTTTCTTTTTCTTTTTTTGTTTTTTCTGTTGTGAGACAACTCTCACTTTGTTGCCCGGGCTGGTGTGCAGTGGTGCAATCTCGGCTCACTGCAACCTCTGCCTCCTGGGTTCAGGCAATTCTCCTACCTCAGCCTCTTGAGCAGCTGGGATTACAGGAGCATGCAACCACACCTGGCTAATTTTTGTGAGTTGCTTTGTTTTGTCTTTTGAGTTGGGATTTCACTCTTGTTACCCAGGCTGGAGTTCAATGGCGTGATCTCGGCTCACTGTAGCCTCTGCCTCCTGGGTTCAAGCAATTCTCCTGCCTCAGCCTCCCAAGTAGCTGGGATTACAGGTGTGTGCCACTATGCCCAGCTAATTTTTGTATTATTAGTAGAGACGGGGTTTCACTGTGTTGGCCAGGCTGGTCTCGAACATCTGACCTCAGATGATCCACCCACCTTGGCCTCCCAAAGTGCTGGGAATATGGGCATGAGCCACTGCACCTGGCCAGATTGTATTTTTTTCAACAAGCCCCAGGGAATAGGGGTATAAAAGAGTGAGAAGCTAATTTAAAAGGAGATAGGATTTTCCATGCTTTAAAAAGGCTGAGTTCTGGCTGGGTGTGGTGGCTCACACCTGTAATCCCAGCACTTTGGGACGCCTAGGTGGACAGATCACCTGAGGTTTGGAGTTTGAGACCAGCCTGGCCAACATGGTGAAACCCTGTCTCTACTAAAAATACAAAAAGTAGCCGAGCATGGGGGCACACGCCTGTAATCCCAGCTCCTCGGAAGGCTGAGACAGGAGAATTGCTGTGAGGCAGAGGTTGCGGGTTGCTGAGATCACACCACTGTACTCCAGCCTGGGTGACAAAGTGAAACTCTGTCTCAAAAAAAAAAAAAGCTGAGTTCTATATATTTCTTATATAGCAGGAATATAATGTCCATGATTTATGAACTTCATTCTTCACTAGTACAATGCACAGATGTAGACAATTTTGCTTGTCTCTCTATCATAACCTAAACCAGGAAGTATCTTTAGCTACCATGTTTTGGGAACAGGGAGACAGATCAATATCCACCTTCTCGGTAGGTGTTGGCTGGATCCCTGGCTCCTTGTCTCCTGTTTTCCTTCTTCACTTTGTAGATGGCACACTTTTGATTTGTAGATGGCACACTTGATTTCCAACAAGGCATTTGTTTTCCACAGGATGGGCCAAAGAGAACCAAAGATTCAGCATTCTCAACTGAACTACAGCAAGCTTTGGCAGTGATAGAGGATTTGATCCAGTCCTGTGAGTTGGTTGTGGACCTAGCAGCAGTGACCGAATATCCGGTATGTTCCATAGCAAGCGTTAGAGCATCTCAGTCAAAAGGCAGGTACAGTACTCCACAGGGAAGAAATGCCCTGGCAAAGTCAGCAGGATTGTCTACGGTAAAGGAACCGCACTCTGAGGAAGGCCACCTAAATTGCTCAGGAAACCTGGGCTACGAGATTCCAGCAGCACCTTGGCATCTTTAGGAATCCTGGGTTTATTCCTTAGAGTTCTGAACGTGGGACTGACCCACTGTCTGGACAAACCAGAAGGTCAAGGGCTGGAACATACAGGGGCAGAGGGAAAGTGCTGAAGGAGTAATTCATTTTCTAACTTGTGACGCTATTAAAATAGTAAAAGATTTTTCTTCTTGCTTCAGAGTTTCTCTGAGAAAAGTGTTTTGGAAACAGGTCCTATATTCTTGCCCCAGTTTTATATCACAGATCCCAGAAGAGGCCCCAAAAGTATATAGTATACATGCTTTAATCCAAGTAGTCTAAAAAAAAAGAGATGCATTTAGAGGCTGACGCTGGGGAGTTGAGCTCCAGCATCTGTGTCAATCCAGAGCAGGTGGGTCCCAGGCATTCCAGGCAAAACATCCCGTATAACGGTATGGTCTCTGTGGGACTGGAGCAGAGGTAATACTCAACTTTTTTTTTTTTTACTTTGAAGTACTCTAGATTTTGATTCAGATTTATTTGTCTTCTTTCACTGTCATAATAAATCAGCGTAAACTTGGTGGCTTACAGCAACACACATTTTATTATTATTACTATCTTGCAGTTCCAGGGTTAGAAGTTCAACACAGGCTCATGGGCTAAAATCAAGGGGTTTCCTTTCCCTTCTGGAGACTACAAATGCATCTGTCTCCTTGAGTTTCCAGCTTAAAAAGGCCACCCATACTCCGTGGCTCACGCCACCTTCCTCCAGCTTCAAGGCCAGTAACGGCAGGTTGGATTCTTATTATACCACATCGCTGTGACCCCCCTTCTGCTTTCTGTTCACTTGTGATTACATTGCACTTTTTCCTTCCTTTTTTTTCTTACCTGGTTTTGAACATACCTTGTACTGAGGTCTTGGTAGAGGAAACGACTTTTCTTTCCTCGTCATAAATCAAACCCCTTCAAGTTATTAGGGGCTGAAAAAGGAGGTATTTTTACTTCCCTCCTGCTGTTTCTCGGCCCTGGATCTCAGAAACTTAGCCCCATGGGGTTTGCTGTGATCCCAGCCGTGATGCTGTTACGGTCCCTTGGGACACCAGGGTGTCTATGCTGAGAGAGCGTTCTTAAGCTGCAGAGTAAGGTTAGGGCGTGTGTAAGGATCATTTTCTTGGTAATAGTGCTTCCTTCTTCAGCTAAGAAAGTCAAGGGAACAATTTGTTAGATCAATCTGGGGCATCTTTCTGTTCTTCTTTTTTTTTTTTTTTTTTTAATCTGGAGTCACATTAGCCACCCCTATTAAATGTTCATTTCCCTGAATCTAATGAATGTTCTGGAAACAATACGCAGAGCAGGACACTCTTAGTATAGGTAATGGAGGAGGAGGAGGCTGTGAGAAAAGAATGGTTAAAACATGAGGAAATAACAATCTGCCCTAATTTCATTCCCAGCCGGTTTGCATGCAAATAGGATGAATCAGTTTATAGAGTTTGGAGATTTTACACCCAAAGCAAAGGACCTTTTTTGATCATGTGTCCTCAGAATTGTGCCCTTGCCAGATGCTTTTTGGTACCTTTTCCTCTAAGACCTAACTTCCTTTGACATCTAATGCATTAGCTAATTTCTCCTGACAGTTTTGTTAATAGTCCTGTTGAATTATGGAGGAGTAGGCATTCGAATTTTCAACTTTCTGATTCGAAAGAAGATCCATGGAAAGAAGATTAACTCACTCAAGATTACATGGCTATCACCTTGGACTATTTCTTGTTCATCCCCTATCCAGGTTTATCTGATTCTGACTGGAGTTGACTAACAACTATCTCTAACTCAGATCGAATGATCCTAAGACTCTTTGTCCCTGTTTTGTAGTGTTTTGTAGCGTTTTATTCCATGTTATAATCACATGTGCAAATGCTTATGATTAACCTAATCAGCTAGTTTCCAGTAGTTTTGTTGCAATTTTTTTGATCATCAGATCCTCAGCCCTTGCCAGATGCTTTTTGGTACCTTTTCCTCTAAGACCTAACTTCCTTTGACATCTAATGCATTAGCTAATTTCTCCTGACAGTTTTGTTAATAGTCCTGTTGAATTATGGAGGAGTAGGCATTCGAATTTTCAACTTTCTGATTCGAAAGAAGATCCATGGAAAGAAGAGTTAACTCACTCAAGATTACATGGCTATCACCTTGGACTATTTCTTGTTCATCCCCTATCCAGGGTTTATCTGATTCTGACTGGAGTTGACTAACAACTACCTCTAACTCAGATCGAATGATCCTAAGACTCTTTGTCCCTGTTTTGTAGTGTTTTGTAGCGTTTTATTCCATGTTATAATCACATGCTATATGCAGGGCTGAATCCAGAGTTTAACCACTTAGTTTCTCTGCTTGAAATTCAGTATTAACCTGATTTTATAAAGGAAAGAAATTGAATGTGATAATCAGATTATCATAATTAAACAACTAGAAAAAAATTCCCTTCCGATTTTTTTTTTTTTTTTTTTTTTTTTTTGAGATGTAGTCTCCCTCTGTCACCCAGGCTGGAGCACAGTGTTGCAATCTTGGCTCACCGCTGCCTCCACCTCCTGGGTTCAAGCAATTCTCCTGCCTCAGCCTCCTGAGTAGCTGGGACTACAGGCGCGTGCCACTATGTCCAGCTAATTTTTTGTATTTTTGGTAGAGATGGGGTTTCACCGTGTTAGCCAGGATGGTCTGGGTCTCCTGTCCTCACGATCCACCCACCCTGGCCTCCCAAAGTGCTAGGATTATAGGCATGAGGCACCACTCCAGGCCCTCCCTTCTGATGTTTATATTTTCTCCCTTTTATGCATACTCAATTAGTCCTGGGTCTAATTTAATCACAAAAGTTGAAAATTTTTTTCCAAACAAGTTTGTATTGTGGAACACTGAGATATTTTACTTCTATCCATTTGCAAAACAAACAAACAAACAAGAAAGGTTTTTTTCAAATCGAATGCATAATTGTGATGCATGTAAATTTGGACTTGTCAGGAATAAATTCCAAGCTGAACTGTAAAGATTGAATGAAACGGTCTTCCTTTTTGGAATACATTTATATAAATCACTAAAGGATGTATCTTTATTACAAGTTCATTGTGGGCTAGGGCTGGCTTTTATTTCTATTTCAGTTCCCTCTCTCTTACCACACTGTTAGCTGCAGAAATAGGGCTGAGTAAATGATCCTACAGATGGCCAGGCCCGGTGACTCACGCCTATGATCCCAGCACTTTGGGAGGCCTAGGTGGGCAGATCACCTGAGGTCAGGAGTTCAAGACCAGTCTGGTCAATGTGGTGAAACCCTGTCTCTACTAAAATACAAAATTAGCCTGATGTGGTGGCGGGCACCTGTAATGCTAGCTACCTAGGAGGCTGAGGCAGGAGAATTGCTGGAGGCAGAGGTTGCAATGAGTCAAGATCGCACTACTGCACTCCAGCCTGGGCGACAGAGCAAGCCTCCATCTAAAAAAAAAAAAATCCTAGTGACTCAGGCAGTGTCTTGTGCATCTTCCCCTCTCACAATACCTGTATCACAGGTGGTTGTCAGGAGTAAATGAGGATTAAACAGTGAGTAAGGCACCAAGCCCTGTGCCTGGTGCCCAGCAGATGCCAAATGAACAGCCTCAGCGCTCTGTGGGGACCTGCTCAGGCTCGAAAGGAAGAAACCTCTTTGCCCCTGGACTCCCACAGCTTCTGCTTTTCATTATTTCTGGACACAGGCTCTGCGTGGACACATTTATACAGATGTTTCCTGCTTCTTTAAGCAAGAAGTTTCTGCCAGTCACATCAGCTGTTACTACCAAGAATGGAAACGTGGGCACCCAAAACAGGCTCTTGCTGAGGCCAGCTTCCCCAGGTTCGCGCTCCCAGCCAGAGTCTTCATTTGGCCGATGTAGTCACATTTGAAATCCTTGTATCGAGGCTCTTACCCACAGAATGCCCAAGCATGAAAATGGCAGCATTTGCCGGTTGATGTTGCTATCACCTCTTGTACAGAGGAGGCCATCTAACTTATCGCTTGTTCATTTGAGGTAGCCCCTGTATTCCATCTGTGAGTTCGCGACCATCAGGTTCTTCCACACACCATGTGACATGGCCACACTTCTTTGTTACTGGTGGGAAACAGTTGGGAGTATATTCGTTCCCTAGGGCTGATGGAACAAAGAACCACAAACTACGTGACCTGAAACAACAGAAATTTATTCTCTCACAGTTTTGAAGCCTAAACGTCCAAAGTCAAGGTGTGAGCAGGCCATGCTCCCTCTGAAGGCTTTCGGGAAGAACCCTTCCTACGTCTTCCGAGCTTCCAGTGACGGCTGGCAATTGAGTTCCTTGGCCGGCTGACAGCTGCGCCACTCCAGTGTCTGCCTCTGCTTCTCACTGTCTTCCTTCAGTGTGCGTCTCCATTTCTTTGTTTTCTCTTTTTATAAGTACACCAGTCATTGGAATGTGGACCCATCCTGACCCTCTGCGACTTCATCCTCACTAATTCTATCTGCAAAGACCCTGTTTCTGAACAAGGTCATATTTTGAGGTTCTCATAGACATGCGTTATGGGGGAAACACTGTTCCCCCAGTACAGGGCCATCGCTGAACGAGCTCCTTGGATAAATCAATATTCCCTCACAGTGATGAGTATTTTCTTTCCTGTTCCCTACTCCCAGGCACCACTAAATGCCAATAAATAAATACATACTAGGGAGCAGTATCTGAAAGAGGTTGCACAGCATGATCTCTGACCTTGAGATTTACTATAGTCTAGTTAGAAAGAAAAGGGACATGTGGTGGAAAAGGTCATTCTCACTCCAGCTCAGGGAATGTCCCTGCAGCTTCCCGTTGGAGGTGGGACAGCTCCACACAGCACACACCGTGTTGACAGTGAATGCACCTGCCTGTCCTTTGCCAGCACCACAGTGCTTGCCCGCTGGAGTTTGGCCCTTGGGCGTGGAGATGGGCAGTCCCATCACTGATGTGGTCCTGAGAACATTTGTGCAACGTGACCCAGAGGATATGCGCCTGTACATTTAAGCCAGACAGAAGACCCAGCCATTCCCTCCAGTGACTTCCAGGGATAATGGGCTTACTGGAAAGCCGATCTGAAGAGCCTCAAGAAGTCACGACATGGATGAAATCTGGAAACCATCATTCTCAGCAAACGGACACAAGAACAGAAAAACAAACACCACATGTTCTCATTCATAAATGGGTGTCGAACAGTGAGAACACATGGACACAGGGAGGGCAATATCACACACTGGGGTCTCTTGGGGGTGGGGGTGTAGGGGAGGGAAAGCAGGGGGCTGGGAGGTTGGGGAGAGATAACAGAAGAAATACCTAATGAAGGTGACAGGGCGGGGATGGAGGCAGCAAACCACCATGGCATGTGTTTACCTACGTAACAATCCTGCAAGATCTGCATATGTACCCCAGAGCTTAAAGTATTAAAAAAAAAGTCACAACGATGGCAAAGCCAGGCTCACGGAGATGGGAACTGAGCAAATCCGGGACCCACAGCAGCTCTGGGGCCTTGGCCTGGGGAAGGAGCCAGGTTCTCACCTGTGTGCCCTGCCTGTATGTGCCGAGTGCACCCACACCCCTGCGGACTGTTTCTTTGCATTCTGTCCAGGTCCGCGTCTTTTCCTCTTCCTGGTAATTTCTAATGACTCACCTTATGCACAACCCTGTTTCCTTCTCGTTTATTCCACTGCCTGCTTTCCTATAAAGCATCTGACAGCTGCACCTCCTGCTGGTCACCGCCTCCTGCAGTTCTCTGCAGTTCAGGGAGAGAGCACATTGTTTTTATGCTGGGGCCCTGTGTCAGCTGCTGGCGCCGCCCTGGGTTCGCATCCCCTGGTTTCTTGCCTATGAAGGTGCAGCAGCATGGCTGTGGTTGGGAGGGAAAGCTCAGAGGTGATAAAGCACAAAGCTTGCAGCCTGAGCTCGCCTCTTCAGCAGTTCTGGTCGGGGCTGTTTCCTCTGCAACAGCCTGCAGCCTTGGCGGATACCTTAACCAAGGTCCCCCCATCTTCTACAGTCATTAGAGTGTGTACAGCTGGTCTTATCCCCCTCCTCCCCCATCCTAGCCTCTTCTGGAATTCCTTTACAGCTGAGCCTCCTCAGTGACCAAACGTGTCCTTATGAGCAGCTTTACCCAAAACATGTTCCTCTGTCTGTCATAGGGCGTGGTTAAGGATGCTGCTCAGTGACAGCGCATCACTGGGAGAAATTTTTCTTGTGTGTTATGAACAGGAATAGCTGTGTTTCTGAACAACTGGTTTGCTCATGTCTTCAGACATAAATCCTATCACTCAGCATGTTTCCCTCTGTATTCTACTAACATGTCAGAGCCAAGTCTACAGCAAGTTTAAATGGCTTTATTATATGCATTTTACATACAGACTCTTCATTTCATTTTTTTTCCACCTTCTACACCTTCTAGAATAGCTCATCAGATTTCTTATCTTTATTTTTTTATTTTTTATTTTTTTTTTTTTTTGAGATGGAGTTTCACTGTTGTTACCCGGGCTGGAGTACAATGGCACGATCTTGGCTCACTGCAACCTCCGCCTCCTGGGTTCAGGCAGTTCTCCTGTCTCAGCCTCCCGAGTAGCTGGGATTACAGGCACGCGCCACCATGCCCAGCTCATTTTTTTGTATTTTTAGTAGAGACGGGGTTTCACCATGTTGACCAGGATGGTCTCGATCTCTTGACCTCGTGATCCACGCGCCTCGGCCTCCCAAAGTGCTAGGATTACAGGCTTGAGCCACTGCGCCCGGCCCATCTTTATTTTTAGAGATGGGGATCTCACTTTGTTGCCCAGGCTGGCCTCAAATTCCCGGACTCAGGTGATCCTCCTGTCTCAGCCTCCCAAGTAGTTGTGACTACAGGCAAGCACCACACTCTCAACTTCATTTTTTCTCCGCCCTAATTCCTTCAGTTATATTCTGTCTGCCTATACTGTATCTATTTCCATAAGAAAAGTCAAATATTTAAAATGAGGTAGAGAGTGAATACATTTTAAGATAGAAACTAGAAGTTTGAGTATCCCTTAGCTAAAATGCTTGAGACAAAAAGTGTTTGGGCTTTTTTTAGGGGAGGATCGGAATATTTGCATAATGAGTTATGTTGGGGATGGAACCCAAATCTCAACACAAAATCCATTCATGTTTCATATACACCTTGTACGTGTAGACTGACGGTAATTTTATATAATGTTTTAAATAATTTTGTGCATGAAGGCTGGGCGCAGTGGCTCACGCCTGTAATACCAGCCCTTTGGGAGGCCGAGGCAGGCAGATCATGAGGTCAGGAGATTGAGAGCATCCTGGCCAACATGGTGAAACCCTGTCTCTACTGAAAATACAAAAATTAGCCAGGTGTGGTAGCACACACCTGTAATCCCAGCTACTCAGGAGGCTGAGGCAGGAGAATCGCTTGAACCCAGGAGACAGAGGTTGCAGTGGGCCAAGATTGTGCCACTGCACTCCCGCCTGGGAAACAGAGCAAGACTCTGTCTCAAAAAAATAAATAAATAAAAAATAATTTTGTGCGTGAAGCAAAATTTTGACTGTGTTTCCACTCCCACCCATCACATGTGATCAGGGAGGGAATTTTCCACCTCCACTGTCATGTTGGTGCTCAGAAATTTCCAGATTTTGGAGAATTTCAGATTTTTGAATTATGGACATTCAGCCTCTACTGATAACATTTGTTTATGCGGCAAGTATCAAGTACCTACTTCTACCAGTTGCTTTGATTAAAACATATTTCTTGCGCTATTTATGTCGATATTGAATACAGATTCAATGGGTTTAAAGGAAAAAGCAATCACGAAGGTCTGGAGTGATTACATTTGAGTGGGTCCTCGATGGATGCAGATAGAGTGAAAAAATTCCGCAGGGTCCTCATGGACAAATCCACCCTTCTGCTTTGGAATGTGGTGAAGCCCAGCCTGTGAACACAGAACAGGAGCATTGCCCTTTAGGGGAGAAGGCCTCATGGCTGGGAGTTTGAGGGTTTTACTCACCACAGTCTACATAACGTACATTTTCCAAAGAAGAAAATGGAAAATTAACATAGAAAATAACACCGTAGACACCACAGAAATGACGAGAGTTTCTTGCTCTTGAAGTTTTTCTTTTAACGTTTCAGAAGTAAAGTCAATTCTTTTTAAAAAGATATCTAGAGTTTACCTAACATATAAATAATAAATTATAAAAATGCCCAGTCAGTTATGAATGAAGTACATATTTCCAGTCTTAACTCAGAAATCACAGGGCTTTCTCTCAGCTAGAGGTAACTTTATGGAGATTTGTCTTCGTTCCCTTCAAATAATTCATGCCTTTTGGTGTTTTTATTCAGGGAAATGAAGTCTCTACTTTAAGCAATGAAAGTTTTGAAAAATACCGGATAAAAATACCATGCTTCCAGCTCGTCTTAGTCCACTATCTTTTGAAGAGAGCTCAGAGAAGGCAGGGTCACCTCATTTGGACTTTCAGCCAGACATATGACAAAGGCACGCTTGCTGGTGGAGAGAGGCATCGCAGTGTCTGCCCTAGAGTCAAAGAAGACTTTTTAAAAATCTGTCAGCTGGGTGCAGTGGCTCACGCCTGTAATCCCAGCACTTTGGGAGGCCGAGGCGGGCGGATCACGTGGTCAGGAGTTCAAGAGCGTCCTGGCCAATATGGTGAAACCCCATCTCTACTAAAATTAAATTAAAAAAAAAATTAGCGTGGTGGTGCGTGCCTATAGTCCCAGCTACTTGGGAGGCTGAGGCAGGGGAATCCCTTGAACCTGGGAGGTGGAAGTGACAGTGAGCCAAATTCTCACTATTACACTCTAGCCTGGCAACAGATGGAGACTCCGTCTCAAAAAAAAAAAAAAAAATCTGTCATTTGGTATTATTTTGGCACTGTTGACTCACTCTGAAAAACTCAGAGTCGAATGCAGTTACTGTTTCCATTGTAACTTTATGAAGATTAGATCATGCTAAACTTTCTCTTTCCAGAACAAGCTTCACATTCTCAGGTTCTCATACACCTGAAGCAGAAGTTAGGATGCAGGTGGAACACACAGATGCTCATGGGTCCATAATGCAGACACAATTCTGTCTCTCTCGGACAGAATTAAAATGTTGATTTCTTGTCCCTTTGAAGGAGACTGTCTTGTAGCAAACATCATGCAGAGGAAATTGAATTATGCTGGTTAAAATTAATTATGAGTCAAAAACATCACAGTACCCGTATCTCTAGTTCAAGTATTTCTAACATTCTTTACATGTAGTATTACATTTCACAGCTGAATTGATTTCCTTATGTAACTAAATGGCACCATGCTCAGTGAAGCTCACAAGATTGCAGCTTTGATTTAGTGACAGAGCAGCCTGAATAGCACTTCTAGAACTGTAAACCTCCGAGAAGCACGCTCTAGAAAATTTAAAAACGGGCCACGGAAGGGTTTTCTCTGCCAAGTAGTTTTACAGCTTCTTTTCCTGTATGTGTGTTTCCAAAGGATGATATTGGAAAACTAGGTGAGCTGTTGATGCACAGCCCTTTCAGCGTCTGGACAATTCACAAGGACCGTTATAAAATGAAGGATTTGATTCGATTTAAGCCCAGTCAGAGGCAAGTCTACCTATTTGAAAAAGGAATAGTGTTCTGTAAGATACAAATGGAGCCTGGGGACCAGGGATCATCTCCTCATTACAGCTTCAAGAAGTCCCTGAAGGTAAAGAGAGTCCTGTTGCATCTGGCAGTGACCTTATGCAGAAAGAGAGAGATTGTTTTCCTTATTTTACAGACGAGGTAGCGGCAGTTTAGAGAGATGAAGTTCACTTGTCAAATACCACACAGCAGAGCTAGAATCCATACCCGGATCTGTCTGACATGAGTCAGAGCTTATAACCAGTCTGTGGACAGGACCAGGGCTGGCACAGAAGTGCCTTTGTACTAGACAGAGAAAAAAGACTGTACGGTAGCTGGTCTGGACAAACTAATGAGCAAAAGTACCCTCTTTCCTCCAGTCAGAGTGGGGAAAGACTTAGTGATTAGAACATGGGCTGGATTTCATCTTAAACTTGCCCTTCTCAACTGTGCATCTTTGTGTCTAAGTGCAGACGTTATCCTGACCCTGGGTCTAAGGGACCCATGCCCACACCAAGCTTTGTTTTCTCGCCTGTTTAGAAACTGTTTCATAGTCAGTTAGCTATGAGGTACACACACACACACACACACGAGCCACACACATATACATTTATGCTCTTGTGATTAAAGCTGTTAATTGGCCGGGCACGTGGCTCACGCCTGTAATCCCAGCACTTTGGGAGGCCAAGGCAGGCGGATCACAAGGTCAGGAGATCGAGACCATCCTGGCCAACATGGTGAAACCCCGTCTCTACTAAAAATACAAAAATTAGCTGGGCGTGGTGGCACCAAGTAGTTCCAGCTACTTGGGAGGCTGAGGCAGAAGAATTGCCTGAACCCGGGAGGTGGAGGTTGCAGTGAGCCGAGATTGCGCCACTGCACTCCAGCCTGGCACCTGGCGACAGAGGGAGATGCTGTCTCAAAAAAAAAAAAAAAAAAGACTATTAATTTGTTCATAGTAGCCTTTGTTACTTGTTTCTTTTCTTTTCTTTCTTTTTTTCTTTTTGAGATGAAGTTTCACTCTGTTGCACAGGCTGAAGTACAATGGCATGATCTTGGCTCACTGCAACCTCCGCCTCTCAGGTCCAAGCAATTCTCTTGCATCAGCCTCCTGAATAGCTGGGATTACAGGCGCACGCCACCACACCCAGCTAATTTTGTATTTTTAGTAGAGGCGGGGTTTCACCATGTTGGTCAGGCTGGCTTTGAACTCCCAACCTCAGGTGGTCCACCCACCTCAGCCTCCCAAAGTGCTGATTACTGGTTTATGAGCCACCATGTCTGGCCTTGTTATTTATGTTTCTTAATGGTTGCTTATTCAGTTACTCTTATGTAGAAATTTGTAAAACAGGTGTTGAAGGAGAAAGGATCTCTTCACGTAAAGGTTGAGGGCTGCAGCCCCTCCTGCAGGAAGATACAGTGGAAAGTTAATAGTCTGTGTTACCTTCTGAAACAGACAAGACAGAAGACACTGTACCAGACTGAGTTTTCTGCTGCCTTGGGGTCACTAAGAGAGGAAAGCAAAAATTTGAAAGGAAGTTGAAAGAAGAGAGCTGTCAAGGGTAGAACAGATTAGAGTGATTGACAGAGACTACTTTAAAATCAGAAAATGATGACATAGAACATTTCTCTTTCCTCTTTACAATAGTTGATGTCACTTTCAATTCGCCAACTTGGAAGGGGGAGCCATAGAAAGTTTGAGATTGCCAACCGAAATGGACTTGAGAAATACATCCTGCAGGTAAAGCTCATGATTTCCCCATGGGTCTCCTCTACTCTTCTCTTATTGTGTTCCCATGACTTGACAAGTGTTTTCTGTCTCGTTATTCTAAGGTCACTGGGAGAATAAAAACTCTGCAATTAAATCTCAGGGTGATCTTATACTCACAATATTTTCTTATGTGTAATTGCAGGCAGCTTCAAAAGAAATCAGAGACTGTTGGTTTTCCGAAATAAGTAAATTATTGATGGAACAACAAAATGATGTTCAAGGTAGGTTACTCCTGCTGACTTCCATCTGTAGGGTTATACTTCCTTGAGCTCAGTGGGGGATGTGCAGATGGGGGATATTGTTGAAGAAAATGGTTTGCTGGGAAAACAACTGTGGCCACAATTTCACAGTCCCTGGAAGCACCTGTGCTTCTGTCGATCGTGGTGGAGACGGAGGGGTTGTGTGATTGTGTGTTTCACAGTCCCTGGAAGCACCTGTGCTTCTGTCGATCGTGGTGGAGACGGAGGGGTTGTGTGATTGTGTGTTTCACAGTCCCTGAAAGCACCTGTGCTTGCCGTCGATCGTGGTGGAGACAGAGGGGTTGTGTGATTGTGTGTTTCACAGTCCCTGGAAGCACCTGTGCTTGCTGTCGCGTGGTGGAGACAGAGGGGTTGTTGTGATTGTGTTTTACAGTCCCTGGAAGCACCTGTGCTTGCCGTCGATCGTGGTGGAGACAGAGGGGTTGTGTGATTGTGTGTTTCACAGTCCCTGGAAGCACCTGTGCTTGCTGTCGCGTGGTGGAGACAGAGGGGTTGTGTGATTGTGTGTTTCACAGTCCCTGGAAGCACCTGTGCTTGCTGTCGCGTGGTGGAGACAGAGGGGTTGTTGTGATTGTGTTTTACAGTCCCTGGAAGCACATGTGCTTGCTGTCGATTGTGGTGGAGACGGAGGGGTTGTGTGATTGTGTGTGGTTGTGTTGGTGTGTCTCTTTTTATTGCGTTCCCTCCTCACACCTAATTGCCAAGATCAACTTCTTAATAAATCTGAAGGTCACCCAAGAAAATGTTAACAGAGATTCAAATGGCCAATACTACCTTTCGGACATTGTACTACTCTTTTTAAACATCAAGATATATTAACACACCAGAAAACTCACTGTCTTAAAGTTTACAGTTCTGTGGGTTTTAGACTATTCACAAGGTTCAGTAACCATCACCAGTCTAATTCTAGTTTTTTTATTTTTTACTTTTGTTTTTTGTTTTAAGGTATTTAACAAACTAATTCTAATTCTACTTCCAAAATCATAACTCTCTCCCAATAAAAAAATTCTGTACCAATTAGCAATCATTCTCGATCTTTCCTTCCCCCAGCCCCTGGCAATCACTAATGTATTTTCCATCTCTATTGGATTTTCCTCTAGGCATTGTATATATGGTCCTTTCTGTCTGGCTTCTTTCACTTCCCATATTTTTTTAAGTTTCATTTCTGTTGCCACACCTCTCAGTACCTCATATCTTTCTCTGGCTGAATAACAGTCCGTTGTATGGATATACCATCTTTGTTTACCCATTCATCAGTTGATGAAGATTTGGGCTATTTCCACTTTTTGGATATTGTAAGTAATGCTACTGTAGATATATGTGTACAGATTTTTGTGCAAATCTTTATTTCCAATTTTCTTGGGTGTATATATGTGGAATTGAGAGACCATGTGGTAACGTTTGTTAACTTTCTAAGGAACTTCCAAATCATCTTTCAAAATAATATCACCATTTCACATTCACATCAACAATATGTGAGGGTTTGATTTTCTCCATTGCCTTACTAACACTTGTATTGTTAATTGTAATAATGATTATTATTATTGCCATTCTAGTGGGCATGTACTGGTAACTCATTGTGATTTTGATTTGAATTTCCCTTATGGCTAGTGAAGTTGAACATCTTTTAACATGCATATTGGCCATTGGTATATCTTCTTTGTAAAAATGTCTATTCAACCCCTTTGCACATTTTTTAATTGGCTTGTCATTTTTGTGGTTGAATTGTAAGAGTTATTTATATATTCTGGATACTGGACTTTTACCGGACATATTGTTTGCAAGTATTTTTTCCCATACCGTGCATTGTCTTTTCACTCTCTTTGGTAGAGTTCTTTGCAAAGCATTTGTAGTTTTAACTCTTACAGTTAGGTCTTTGATTCATTCTGAGTTAATTTTTGTATATGATGTGAATTAGGAGCCCAAGTTCATTTTTTTACATGTGGATGTCCGTTGTCCCAGAACCATTGGTTGAACAGACTATGGTTTCCCTGCTTTGAATGGTCTTAGCATTCTTGTTGAAAATAAATTGGCTTTGGGTATAGAATTCTTTGTTGACACTCTTTTTCTTTAAGCACTTTGACTATGTCATCGCATTGCCTTCTGGACTCTGTGATCTCTGATAGCAATCAGCTGTTAATCTTATTGAAGGGTCCTTGTATGTGCTTGCTGCTTTCAAGCTTCTTTCTCTGTCTTTGTTGACAGTTTGATTATGATATGTCTAGCTGTGGATCTTGATCTCTTTGAATTTATGTTTCTTGCGGTTTATAGACTTCCTTGAAGGTATAGGTTAATGTTTTTCATCAAATTTGGGAAATGTTCAGCTATTTTTTCTTTAAATATTCTTTTATCACATTTGCTTCTCTCTCCTTCTATAACTGCCATTATGCATCATTAGCATGCCTCTTCAGGCATCTCACGGTTCCTGAGGCTCTATTCATTTTTCCTTCATTCCTCTTTCTCTTCCTCAAGCTGGATAGTTTCAATTGACTTATATCTAAGTTCTCTAATTCTTTCTTTTGCCTGCTCAGATCTGAAATTTTTCTTTCAATTATTATACTTTTCAAATCTATAATTCCTGTTTGGTCCTTTAAAACAAGTCTTTATTTATATTCTCTATTTAATGAGGGTTTGTTCTTTTACTTTCCTTTAGTCTTTATATATGATTTCCTTTAACTTCTTGAACATATAAAAATAGTTGAAGTATTTGTCTCGTAAGGTCAGTGTCTTGGCTTCCTCAGGAACAGTTTCTATTGACTAATTTTCCTTTTCCCTGGGTATAGACTGCATTTTCTTATTTCTTTACATGCCTCATAATTTTAAAATTAATGAGACATGTAAAGAAATAAGGACATTAAATTGGACATTTTAAATGACATAATGTAACAACTCTGGAAACTGGACTTTCCCACCCCTCCTGTTGGTTGTTGTTGCTGTTTGTTGTTTGTTGTTTAGTGACTTTTCTAAACTAATTCTGTGAAGTCTGTATTCACGTGCAGCCATTGAAGCCTCGGCTCAGTTAGCTTAGTGCTCTAAATGCTAATGACATGACAAAGATTTCTTTAAACACCTGAAACCGGTAACCCTTCCCGTCTTTGCCAAGGGTCTGTGTGTGAAGATTAGGACATACCTTCAAGCTCAGCCTGGCACTTGACAGTTCTATCCTAGCCTTCACTTTCTGTTGTGCAGCTCATCAAGATCAGCGGGAGGTAAGATCACAGGGCCTTCTCAGAGCTGTCCTGAACATGCTCACAGGAAATGTGTGCGTGGCCTTCTAGAGTCTCTCAAACATTTCGGAGCCTTTACAAGCCTCTATGAGTAACTTATTCCTGAGCTTTTCCTTTTAAACTTTTTGATTAGCCCACGTTTGCCCCACTGTTAGCCAATACCTCAAGCAACCAAGAAGTTAAACAATTGCTATAACCATTTTCTACAAAGGCCTTTGGGGAAAAGACTTCTCACACTGGGCAAGTTCTGAGTCAGGCCTAAAGACAGCCTGGCAGGTAGGGTATTCCTAGAAACCCCTGAACAGGTCACATAACGATAGTTTTCTGGGAATGAGGCTCCGTCGGTGCCGCATTCCTGTTCTTCCCCTCCCGTGGCTGCCAGACTGCTGATTTCCACCGTCGTTCAGGCTGTTCGTTTCTAAGGTTACCCCCAAGTAAGGGGAGGGTAGGAACAGGGCAAGTTAAAATGCCACAAAACTCACCATGCATACTGAAACACAGCCATTTTCCTTGAATAAATGTTCTCCACATTGCTGCAAGCCTTTATTTAATATCCAGTGTTCTGAAAATAAATTTTCTGGCCATTTTTTCCCAGTTTTTTTTTCATGCTTTTGAAAAGAAGAGAATTGGGGGTGGGGGGCTTCCTTCAGCATTTTCACTGGTGTCACACACTGTACCTTTTTCAATATTAAAAATCATCTTTAAGTAGGCTTTATCCTTTCACATATATTTTTTTTGAACCAGTTCTCACAACAGTAGGGATATTTGGTGGGAAAATCCACACGAAGTTTTATGGATTAAGTTCTGATGCTCCCTTCAGGTGATGTTACTAGGGTTAAGAAATGCCAGTCTCGTGTGGAAAGTCTCTTCCATCATTTATACTGGCAGTGGTTTGCATTTTCAGTAAGAAAAATTGTGTAAAATGAAAAGATAAATTTTGTCTTTAGAGACAGCAGAAATGCAACCATTTCACACTTTTTCTAGGTCTTCTCTGATCATCAGCTGCTCAGGAATGTGCAAGGCTGGGTGTGCCTCATAAGATAAGGGAAAAGATAAACCATGTAGTGTAACTGGAAAGCCACCACATCAGATCTCCAATACAAAAACCAAGCAACATAAGTTCTTGATTTAAACTGTAGGCATCTGCCAGGAACTAGTAACAAGATTATGTCACTGATTTTACTTTCTATAAAGATAAGATGGGAAAAAACTAGGATTTACTTTTGTTTTTCAACTAATAATACTTTATTAAATATGTTATGTTAATTGAGTAGGAGTGTCCTAGACAGAGGCTTAACACGGAATGGTACGGCAACTCTAGTAGAAAGTCACTAGTTTACTGCAGAAACGACATTCTAGTCACAAGCTTGTTTAGAAATCCTTACTTACTACGTCAATGTTGTTCAAAGGGTGGTTTAAGCACTACCTGCATGGGAGTTATTTGAAGGGCTTGTTACAAATGCAGATTTCTGGATCCCACCCCAGAACTATAGAATAGCTAGGCTTAGTCCTGGGGACATACATTTTAGTTTATTAAAGTTTCTAGGTAGCGACCTTTTACTATAATTTTTTAAACTCCTTTACTGAGATATAATGACACAATAAATCACACAAATTTAACGTGTACGATTTGGTAAGTTTTGCCATCTGTATATATCTGTGGGGCATCACCACAGTCAGGAAAATGAACAGGTCCATCACCCCCAAAGGTTTGCTCACACCCCTTTGCATTCCCTTTCTCCTGCCCACCCCCATCATCTACCCTGGGTGGTCACCAATTTCCTTTCTATCACTATAGGTTAGTTTGCATTTTCTAGAATTTTGTATGACACGATAAAGTATGTACTTTTTTTTGGTCTGGCTTCTCTCCTCAGCATAATTATTCCGAGATTCATCTATGTTGCATTTTGTAAACAATAGCACATATTTTAGTTGTTGCTGAGTAGTATTTCAGTAGTACTTCATTGTTTGGCTAGATCCCATCTTCTTTATCCATTTACTTGTTAATGAACACCCGATTTGTTTCTGCTTTGGGGCTACTTTGAATAATGCTGCTATGAACATGCAAGTACAAGTCTTTGTGTGAACATGTGTTTTCATTTCTCTTGGATAAATACCTAAGAGTGTAATGGTTAGGCCATATGGTAGGTGTACATTTAATATTTTAGGAAATTGCTAACTACTTTCCAAAGTGATTATATCATCCTCCATTTCCATAGTGTGAGAGTTCCTCTTGTGCCATGTCCTCACCAATACTTGATATTGTCAGTCTTTTACATTTTCAGATTTCTAATAGGGACATAGTGGTATGTCATTAAGGGTTTAATTTGCCTTTCCTAGTAACTAATGGTTGAACTCACTTTATGTGCTTCTTTGCCATCTTTATGTCTTCTTTAGTGAAGGGTCTGTTCAAATCTTTTGCTCATTGTTTTCTTATTATTGAGTTTTGAGAGTTTTTATGTATATCCTAGATACATGTCCTTTTAATGCTTTGTAAATATTTTCTTTTAGTTTGTGGCATATCTTATTCTCCTTTTCTCTCTTTCCAAAAGAGTAATTTTTGAAGGGCAAAAGTCTAATTCTTATAATATTTTAATTATTATAGTATTAAATATTTTCTTTTAGTGTGTGGCATATCTTTTTCTCCTATTTCTCTTATTCCAAAAGAGTAACTTTTGAAGAGCAAAAGACTAATTCTTATAATATTTAATTTTAAAAATTTATATGAATTATGCTTTTGATTTCCTGCCTGAGAAATCATTATCCAAACACCACAAAGATTTTCTCCCTCTGTTTTCTTCTAGAAGTTTTATAGTTTTACATTTAGGTCTCTGATACATTTTGGGTTTGTTTGTTTCTGTTTTGGGTTTGTATATGGTGTGAGGTATGGATCAAACTTCAGTTCTTTGCATATTATGTTCTAGTTTTTCCATTGCCGATTGCTAAAAACACTATTCTTTCTCCTACTGACTGTTTATGTAAGTGTATCTATTTCTGGATGCCTGATTCCTTTCCACTGATCTGTTTGTCTACCTTGCCATCATTACCTCACTATGTTCATTATTGCTGCTTTCTAATAGGCCTTAAAATGAGGTAGTTTGAGTACTCTAATTTTGTTCCTCTTTTTCAAAGTTATTTGATTATTCAGGGTCCTTTATACTTCCACACATAGTTTAGAATCTGCTTGCCAACTTCTCAAAAAAGCTTATTGGGATTTTGATTAGGATTGTGTAAAATCTATAGACCAATTTGGTGAGAATTGACTTCTCAACACTATTAACCTTAATCTAAAGTTTAAATTTTAACTGATTCCCTGCCGCCTTCCCTGCCTTGAAGAAAAAGACAAGTTTGCTATGACATTTATTCAGTTGACAGTTCAGAAACAGATTTCTCAAGCCCTTCTTAAGATTGCATTGTGCTCTCTAGTTGTGACAGGATTGCAAAATCTAGGTAAGAAGCAAAACCAGGCCCCAGCATATAGTATAAAGGCCCAGAGGAGTTGTCCCAGCCCCTTTCTTTTGCAGATGTACAATCACAGGGTCAATTTCACATAATTTGAAATTTATGTGATTTCAAATTATGTGAAATATCTCAGAAGCAGCAGAACTGAGACTTCTGAGCCTTGTGCACCAAGTAGGGTCTGATGAAATGTCTCTGTGAGTGATACAAACAACAAGGGTTCTAAGAATTCAGAGAGGGGCCACAGTGGACGGTGAGTAAGCAGGCACCAGGGCCCTGGGCTGGACTAGGGGCAGAATGCAGACTCAGGCTCAGAGATATCCAGGCATTGTTGAGAAGATGGTGTCTAGGGTTCCAAGATCAGGAATATCAGGACTGTCATACCTCATGCCTGCTGAGCACTTTACAAAGCTCTGACATAAAACATTATCACCTAGATTCATTTTTACACCACCCAACAACATCTTTCAACCTTTGGGGATTGTTAAGCCTATACACTGGACAATATACAGGGACCTCAGGGCCATGCGTGAGAGGAAGGACACTGCGAGCCAACGAGGGATGTAGAGAGAGGGCCTCTTGAGATAACCAGGCAGAAGAGGACATTGTACCCAGGTATGATGGAGTCAGCTAGGGCTTGGGCAGGGAAGAGAAGAGTGTCCCTGATGGTTGAGACACAGACGCAGGAGAAGCCAAAGAGGGAGGCAGGCGCTGAGGTTTGGGACAAGCTCCTCAGCTGTGGCATCACTGCCTGAGATCAGAAAGTGTAGCAAGACTGCTGGGAAAGATCAGGCCCCACCCAGAAGAATGCAGGGGCAGGCAGTGCGGTGGGTGAGAAATACAAGGCAAAGCCCCAGTCCTGGCAGAAATAAAGGCCACCATCCCATCCTAGGAACTGGGCAACATGTGCCAGTCACATCAGTAGTTAAAGGTGGCCCAGGAACCTTGAAAACCACAGAGCTGCCTCAAAGTGAGCACGTTCAGTGATGATCTGGAGCCCAGCTTGAGAGAGTCAGGGATAGGGTGGAAGGAAATTGAGATGGAGAGGTACACCTCAAATATCGGGCTGAGGAATTTGGCATTTATACTGTGGGAGGTGGTGGAGGGTCCCTGGAGATTGAGATCTGGTGCTATTCTCATACCTGGGACAACACTTGAGTAAAGAATGATTCTTATCCCTGTCCCAGGACTCGTAAGTTTTCCCTCATCAAGTCACATAATTTGGGCTCACATGGAAAAAATCAGCATTTGATGGGCATACTGTTTATTTATTGATGCAGTATTAATGGAGCTAACTGTAGGAACTTGGTTGGACCCAGAATCAATGCACGTGGGAAACTCAACAGGACAGGCAGAGAGAAGGGGACGATGCCAGGATGTGAGCCAGGGGCTGCAGCAATGTTTTCTAAACTCCTGGGAAAATAAGATCAAGACCTACACACCTTTATAGATCTTTATAGTATTCTCTCTATGCACATATGTGTATTTAAAAATCAGTATGTAAAGCTAATTCAAAATAGCTTAAATTTGAGAGTGTTGTTTTTTGGTGTTTTTTTTTAATCTTAGACCAAGGAAATCCACAGTTTGAAATGAGCACTGGGTGAGTACTGATTTTTTATTTTAAAGATGTGTCAAATGCTTTAGCTGTTTCATGTTGAGTCCATGTCATTGCTTTTATTGCTTTTTTTTTTTTTGTCCCCCTAACACTTAGCTTATTACAAGGAATTTCCAATTTTTTAAAAATATTGGCCAGGTGCAGTGGCTCATGCCTGTAATCCCAGCCCTTTGGGAGGCTAAGGCAGATGGATTGCTTGAGTCCAGGAGTTTGAGACCAGCCTGGGAAACATGGTGAAACCCTGTCTCTACCAAAGAAAATACAAAAATTAGCCTCTCATGGTAGTGCGCTTGCAGTCCCAGATACTTGGGAGGCTGAGGTGGGAGGATCACTTGAGCCCAGGAGGTCGAAGCTGTAGTGAGCCTAGATCACGTCACTGCACTGTAGCCTGGGTGACAGAGCAGGAGCCTATCTCAGAAATAAATAAGTGCATATGTACATAAATAAATATAAAAAATAAAATAATAAATCAGTTCCCAACCTCACTGCTAGCCTAGGATATTAAATCAGTTTCAAACCCCATTGCTAGCTAGGATATCTTTTCTGGTGCTTGCTTGCTTGCTGTATTGCCAGTTGAGGTAGACCTGCCAGTTCGAAACCTCCCCTAATCGCCCTTGCTTTTGGCTGTTTTCTTGAGCTTTCATTCCATTCCTATTTTCACAAGGCTGCCCTGCCTCCTACTTGGCTGAGTAGGCACAGGTACCCTCTGATGTTAACTCCCGGGCTTCCTCCTCTCCACTCAGAACTCTCCCGATCATCTTCCTTTCTTTATTCCCCCTTGTCTGGGAGGAAGATGTGCTCACACTTCTTTCAGGGTTAAGTCCTCACTGATGCTCCTTGCCCCCTCTGTTCCTACAACTTACAAACAATGTGCATTGGTAATTCCTCTTCCTGTCCAAAGCACTCAGTGAGTTCTCAATATATGGTTATTGAAAATGCCTGTCGACTGTGAGCCAGTTCTGATACAGGAGTCTGCTTAGTTTTTCTAAAGCTTATTTGGCCCGCTCCTCTGTGGAAACCTCCCAGACCGTAACCCCAAAAGGTGAGGGCTCCAGAAAACAGCTGTTTCTCCCCTTCCTCTCTGCCCCCACACTCTTATGTAGTACTCTATTGCAGTGTTTAATATGCTATAATTTTATGATGTGTTTACATTTCCTCCCTATAGACCATGAATTCTTCTAGGGCATGGAGCCTGTCTTATTAGTTTTAGCTTCTCTCAGGCCTCATCTATCGGAGCCTGGCACTTGTGTAGGTGCTCAGTAAATGTTTAGTGAGTAAACAAATGAAAGAACTCATAGAATAATCAGATGAGGCCAGCAAGCCACTCTACAAGCAAGGCCGGGGGTGATGAGGTTTGGCTCAGGCATGTCTTATTCCTCTTGGACCTCCAGTGCTTAGTAGGTGTTTATTCTCTGGATTCGTCTAACCCAAAAGAGTCACTGTAATAGTTGACATTTCGGGTCAATAAAGAGGAAGGAAGGAGGTATAGTGAGCCAGTGAAGACATTTTTGAGAAGACAAAGGGGATTCTTCCTCCTCACCTCTTGCCCTTTAAGATTTCTAGCCAATTAGAGGTGTGCTGTGTAATCCAACAAGGAGTGTCCTTTGGACATTTCCTTACTGCATATCACCCCCCGAGCTGAGGCAGGTCTTCAACTACAGGTAAGGGAGGAGCAGCAGTCCTGGAGACCCAGACTGGAGATGTACTAGGTGAGCCAGCGCTCCTCCGACTGGTAGGGGAGGGAGT